TTTTATTCCTCCCCTGCACAGTTTTAGTAATTCTCTTCCAAGATCCAGGAAATCTTTTACTGACATCTTCAATAATGCAATTCCTTGAGATGAATCTTTTCAGCCAGAATCTGGATTAAGTAACATGGGAGAAAGAACAACCTTGCTTGGAAATGTTGGACTCATTCTTGCAGCTTATCTCCTTCTTAATCTCCACTGTGGCAAAGGATCTTGCAGGAAAGAGTTCCTTGAATTAAAAACCGATTTATCTTGGTATTAAATTCTCATTAGATCCTGAGGCCACATGCCTACCATACCAAGAGCTCCGACATTATCTCCGCATCAGAGAACTGGAGACTCATCGGCATGCCTCTGGATTCGCCTCAACTTTTGTCCTGCCTCTCCCCCTTCGCATTCTCTGGCCGAGCCTCAGAGGAAACGCGATGGCCCTGGATTTCACCAGGCCAGATGAAAAAAAAAATAATAAAATTTAAAAATCTATACTTCAATAATATTTTTTATTTTTAAAAGGAAGGGAGTCTCCCAGATCTTGCAAGACCCAGTTCTTTCTTTCTTTTGAAAAGTGAAAATTTAGTTGTGTCCAACTCTTTGCGACCCCATGGACTGTAGCCTACCAGGTTCCTCTGTCCATGGGATTTTCCAGGCAAGAATACTGGAGTGGGTTGCCATTTCCTTATTTATTTTAATTGGAGGCTAATTACTTTACAATATTGTGGTGGTTTTGCCATACATTGACATGAATCAGCCACGGGTGTACATGTGTCCCCCGTGTCCTGAATCCCTCACCCCTCTCCCACCTCCCATCCCAACCCATCCCTCTTGGGTTGTCCCAGTGCACCAGCTTTGAGTGCCTTGTTTCATGCTTCGAACTTGGACTGGTCATCTATTTCACATATGGTAATATACACGTTTCGATGCTATTCTCTCAAATCATCCCACCCGTGCCTTCTCCCACAGAGTCCAAAAGCCTGTTCTTTATATCTGTGTCTCTTTTGCTGGCAAGACCCAGTTCTTATGAATAGGGCTGTGGGCCCCCATTTGGGACCCTGGGAGCTAAGGGAAGCCAAGCTGAGACAGGCTTCATCCATTTATTGCCTTGTATAGTCATGTCACTTCCTAAAGGATTTTGCACACTAGGTTAGTTAAATCCAAATTCGTATCTAACCTTGCTGTGGGGGTGTGTGCATGTGGGCTGTCCCAGGGCAGACAACAAGTGTGGCACAAGTATCTGCCCAAGAAGGAAAGGAAGACCAAGTTTCAAAAAAGAAGGCAGAGGGCCAAAGACAGTCTTCTTTACTTTCCTCCATTGCATTCTTTCCAGACAGATGGGTGAGGCTGTGCCCACAGAAGGGAGAGGTGGTGAAGTATGGAGCCAACCATTTTTCAAGTGGCATGTCTAAACAAAGACTTTGTACTCCAATCTTGGCTGCTCACAGACTGGGGGTGGGGGCGGGGGTGTGGTGGGAGGGGAGGGCATTTCATTTCCCATCTACCAGGACTCTTAAATACTGGCTAAGGGCTTCCCTGGCGGCTCAGACAGTAAAGCGTCTGCCTACAATGCGGGAGACCTGGGTTCAATCCCTGGGTCGGGAAGATCTCCTGGAGAAGGAAATGGCAACCCACTCCAGTACTCTTGCCTGGAAAATTCCATGGACGGAGGAGCCTGGTAGGCTACAGCCCACGGGGTCTCAAAGAGTTGGACACGACTGAGCGACTTCAATGTCATGTCATGTCAAGGACTCTTTACTTTCCTAAGTATTGATATATTACCACACCCTAAAGTCACAGATATGATGGCAGCCAATTAGACAACAATTACCAATGCTACCTTGTTCTTTGTAATAAAAGAAAAAAGTCAGTTTTTGTTGTGGCGGTTGTTATTGTTGATGCACAATTTATTTTTGGCTTATAGCAAAGTGCCGTGGAGGCCAACAATGGGCTTCTTTGAAGGGGGTTGGGTGCTCCGCCATGACCTGGCATCTCTGGGGCTTCAGAGTCTGGTTCTGGCTGAGTTTACAAAGGGAAGGTAAAGCACTGTTGGTGCCAAGAGATTATCCAGCCAGATTGGATGCCAGATGGGCGGGTGGAAGGGGAGACAGCACAGAGTTTGCCAAGAGTGGGTGGGGGTGGGAGCCAGGAGCCAGAGCCAGGGCATCCTCCTGAGGCTGCCATAGATGTTCTCCACAAATTCAAGGATCTGATATTCCAGCCACAGAGAGTATACAGGTTAGTATCAGACCCCTTTAAGGCAGCTTAAATCACCCCCTTCAGCCAACGCCTCCCAATCTGTAGAAGGCGCCTATTTGAACCAAATGAAGACTATTTCTGAGTGGGGTGATGGTGTGCTTAGAGAGGTTCTTAGTGGCTGCTCAGCAGAATCATTAGAAATCAAAATATAAATACTCAGGCCCACCCAAGACCAAATAGTCCAGAATCTCAGGGGAGAGGACTCCACGTAGTTTATGAAGACTCCCGTTTCTTCTCCCTGTCATCACTTATGTGAACATTTGTCCAAGGCAGACAGCTTTCCTTTAAAAGGTCATTTAAAACCTCTATTATTTATCCCTCTGTCTAGAACACAGTATTTTAAGAATTAAATCCTCAAAATCAACTCACAAGGCATAACAGTAATCCTTTTTTGAGATAAGAATATTGAGGTTTCCACTCAGTGAACTGACCAAAGTCACAGAGCTGATACACAGTGGAGCTGAGATGAACACCTGGGGCATTTGACCCCAAACGTGCCTATTTCACAGCTGGAAGCGACCTTGCTGGTCAGCACAAGCGTCATATTCTTTGACTTTGAGAAGAGGCAGTGAAAGTTGTAAGCCAAGCATTTTCAGGTGATGAAACAGGGACAGAAAGAGGTTTAACATGCTGCTTAAGGCCACCCAGCAAACCTCGGCAGAGTTAAAACCAAAGCCCACGTTTCCTGACTCTAGGCCCAGTGCCCACCCGACCCCAAACAAATACCTGGGGTGCTATTGTCTGACTAAGTCCAGATTTTCAGTCTTAAAATTTAGCAGTTCATAGAAGGAACACATCACCATCTTCCCCTGCCCAGGCAACAAGAATTGGATATTACTGTGTCAATTTCCTTATTGTTCATGAGTGAATTTAGCTAGAACTGGACTTCAAATGTGCCAGCCAGGGCAAAATTCAAGATCTGGAAATAGCTCATAGGTGCACGTGCCCCTTTCAGTGACCATCAGCTAAGGGCCCTGAATAAAAGTTATACTGAGTCAGGGCTGCAGTTTTTCCTGGGCTCTGAAATTTGTCAGACTGAACAGGGACCAATGAATCTGTGTATCCCAACTGATATCTACACAGGAAAGCTTCCTTTTTCTCCTGGAGGAGACATTCTCAGATACACAGGATGACTGTGGTTTCCAGAACCGAAAGAAACCAAAAGATACCAGCAGTGCAAGATTTAGTCCCCGTGCCCAAAGAGAATTCACTGAATTCATTGTCCAAATATTTAGGTAAGAGCTGGGGGAAGAGCATTCCATTCAGAGGGGATGGAATTAAATCAGAGAAAGACTTGACAATATGCATATCCTATTGTTACTTCTTTGGGGAAAATAAAAAAGAAAAATAAAAAACAAAACATTCCCAGAGTCATCAATGGATCATTCTTCTTGAAGGTTTATAAGTATCATATGTCTTAACACATTGCTATTTTTTATCTTTGCTATTGTTGTGTTTATGTGCATGATAATAACATAAATGTACAGAATGTACATTATTACATGCAGTATGTAATTACGTAAGTAAGTTAACTTTGTACTTACTTAAATTAGATAAACAACAAATCAGAAGATACAGACTCACAGAATTTCTTGTCACAGTCAGAAAACACAGTCCTGGGTAATAAATACTAGGTAGCAATATAGAAAAGGCTTTTGATATTATGTCAGAATCCAAAAAAACAGCAGCTATAATTTATGTGTATGATGACTGCAAAAAATGTTAACACATGTAGTTTGTGTGTGTGAGTGTATAATGAGGGGAATGAAAGACTGGAACGAAATTCACCAAAGTGGTCATTATGAAAATCTAATGTTCTAATAATGGGATGATAGCACTTTGGGTCCCTCTGTGAGTATATGTGTCTTGTTCAAGCTACTGGGGGTCCCTGTAAGTATAGAAGACTCTGAATGATGTGTTCCCTAGAGGAAGAGCTTGATGCAGAGAACAGTGGAAGGGGACAGGAGTCATAAGCCCTGGCGCTGGCCTTGGCTTCTAGGGCATGCTGCGTTATCTTGGGGAACGAACTCAGTTTCTTCACCTGCTACCTAGATGTTTAATGGTAACTGCCTCAGTGGATCAAATGTGAAGGGACTAAATGCAAAAAACCCCAAATTTGCAAAGTTCAATATCCTAGGGGCAAAGCAGTTAGCCTAAGGGAACGAGGTGGACTGGGTAAGTTTGACAGAGGTGTCCTCTGCTTCATAACAACTTAAGACTCTCTGATTACCACAGTAAATACATTCTCCCATTTTTCTTGAAACCTGTAAGCCTTACAGGTTCATCTTACATTTTTCCACTTTATAGAAACAAGGACATGTCAGATCTCTCTCTTTCGGATCAACTGTATTCTGGAAAAATGTACATAGTGAACATGCTGCTGGGCCTCAGCGCAGGGATGGGTATAGAGAGAGGGGGTGGGGGACATGATGAGCTGAGGTCGGCACTCCCAGCCTGGGGAGCACGGACTTCTTAATTCAAACCAGTCATCACCATAGGGAAACACTGGCTTAGTGGGGAGACTTTTTCTAATTCCATTTAGAAACCTCTCAATTTCAAGACATTGAACATTTGAAATTAATAGACTCGTACATGCCCAACAAAACCCATTCAGATTATAAACAAGACCAAGGGCTGCCATTTTGAGAGCAATTCAGGGTTTATACACTGTTCTCTTTCATGCCCTGGAGCCATCCCCTATCTCTCCTCAAGAAAGGTCACTTGCAAATTCAGAGTGAAAGGCAGGTACTTACTATGGAGCTGCTGAAGGCCACAGAAGGCTGTGAGATTTCACAGCGCCCCATAGACCTTTGTCGCGAGTGGCTCTGGATGGGTACACGGGCACTCTGGCTCCTCCTCAGAGGCTGGGACCCTCCTTGGCCCCTCACTGTGACTGGGCCCTGGTCCCTTCGGGCTGGGAAGGACAAACACCGGTATTGGGTCCACTCTTCACTGTCTGAGTCCAGCTCCTTTGGGGTCTCTAGTCGCTTAGCTGCAAGAAAGGAATCTTGTTATTGCATCAGTTGTACCTCAGCTAGATCATGGTTGGGGAGATGCTAGACTTTGGGGGTGAAGCTAAAAGCATGGTGTAAGAACATTATGCTGCTCTAGATAACAGGCAGCTGGTTACCCTGACTGCTGAAAGTGGGGTGCAACTTGGTCACACAGGTTCAAATCCTGGCCCTCCTACTTCCTAGCTATGTGACTTTGAGCTTCGCATAACCCACGCCTCTACTTCCTCAATTAGGGGTTATAAAAACTATCCAACTCATTGTTTTGAAGACTTAATGATATAATGGTATGTATAAAAGACTTACTATGTAACGATATAAAAGTGATAAGCATACTCTAAGTACTGGCAGCTGCAATTATTAAGACTAGAAGTTCCCGTGTACATCATGACTGCTGTGGCAAAAGGGACTGGGCTGCCTGTGGTACCTTCTCTCTTCTCTTTCTTCATCCCTCCCACTCAAAAGCATGAAGAATGAAGGAAGTGGGGTGTGTGAGAGTGTGTGTGTGTGCGCATGCGTGCTGTGGGGGTAAGGAACCGAGGGGATCAGTCAGCTGTATCAGCCACCTTCAGTCCAGATGACAATCCAGGCATTTTCTAGCCATATCCCCTAAGGCAAAGCTTTGTGTCAGCAAACCCCAAGAGGTCAGTTAGCATGGAGGGCATTTCCTGATTGTATCCCATTCCACCATGTGCTTCCACCTGGGCCTGTCCTGTCAGGTAAGGTAACCTGAAAAACCCCTAAACTTTGGTTGCAGGACTGGAACATAATTTGGACATCTCCCCAGTGCATTCCTGACAGATAAAAATCTTCTGTGTCAATTGCGCCAGGCAAAGATCCAGTGAGGACAAAGATCAACCAGCTGGAGGGCTACCACACAGGAGATTACCCATAGCCTTCAGAAGCAAATAAAGTTTACAAGTGATAAGAACAGCACTTACCTGTGACAAGAAGGCCTCAGGGATACGGGAAGCTACTTCCCACAGAGCCACTCAGCCTTTGCCGAGAGCCAGGAGAATGGGTTTTAGTCACCACGCTCTTAGGAGAGCAGGGGTGATTTCTCTATAAGAAGGGTGGGGCCCCCAGGGACCCCCTCGTACCATTTTCTTGGTGAGAATACTCGTGGCCCATGATGGTACAACGCCGGAACACCATCTTGTTCTCGGTCAGCGTTCCCGTCTTGTCGGAGAAGATGTACTGGATCTGACCCAAGTCCTCAGTGATGTTGAGGGCTCGACACTGAATGGACCAGTCAGTCTCTTCGTCATACAGGTCAAAGTCGTTGTGCAGGAAGAAGACTTGCCCGAGCTTCACCAGCTCAATGGACACGTACAGGGAGATTGGGATCAGTATCTGTGGGGAGATTGAGTCCCACTGTGTCAGATGCAGGGGCCGGCCTGCCATCTCAGGGCCTCCCTGAGTGACAGGGTAGCAAAAGCATTTCATGGAAAGCTCAGGTCAGCTCATGCAGTGGGTTTTCTCTGAGAAAGTAAAGCTCAGTGACCTCATGCCTGCCTTGGGATCCTGAGGAGAACCTGAAACAGACATAGGCCTTCCTGAGCCAGGAATATTTGGCATGGGGTAGACACTCACCACTGCTTGTTTAATAGCTGAGCTGAAGGGGTAAGGAGCTCTAGTTAATTTACAGAGTCGTGTTGGGTTCAGGTGTGCGGCAAAGTGATTTAATTCTCTCTCTATAACATTGTATATACTTTTTCATGTTCTTTTCCATCACAGTTTATTACAAGATATTGATAATACTTTATATGGCAGATTCTTGTTATCTGCTTTATATATGATAGTGTGTATCTGCTAATCCCAGACTCCTAATTTTTTTTTTTTTCAGACTCCTAATTTATGTCTACCCTTCTCTTTTCCCTTTGGTAATCCTAAATCTGTTTTCTATTCAGATTTATTGTTGATCACTGCCCACTGATATAGCTCAGATGGTAAACAATCTGCCTGCAATGTAGGAGACCTGGGCTCAATCTGTGGGTCAGGAAAATACCCTGGAGAAGGCAACCCACTCCAGTGGAATTCTCTTGCCTGGAGAATTCCATGGATAGAGGAGCCTGGTGGGCTATAGTCGTGGGGTCGCAAAGGGTCGGACATGACTGAGTGACTAACACACACACAAATACTGAGTGCTGTTCTGGGTCCTTCAAAGGGCAATGAGCAGAAAAAAGCCCTGGCCTTGAAGACCTCCCATTCCAGTAAACAGAGAAATCTATATTGAGTGGTGGCAAGTCTCATGAAAAAAAAAAAAGAATAAAGAAAAGTGAAAAGAGTAAAGGTTGGGAGGGCGTCTTTCACAAACCACAACCTTTGTGCTGAGACCTGAAGAAACGAGGGTGTGAGCCTGAGGTTATCTGTGGGAGGAGGCATGTTCCAGGCAGGGCACGGGCCGGTGGCCGGGTGTCTGCAGGGCCGGGGCGAGAGTTGGCAGGCGTGTGTGCCAGTGTGTGGGAGACAGCTCGAGATGTGGTCCCCGAGGGAGCGGGGCCCAGATCACTTAGGCCTTGTTGGTCGCTTCAGAAGTTTGTATTCCCCTTTGTATTTATTTCACTTTTGGTTATGAAACCATCAGAGGGTTCAGGGCAGAGGTAGAGCATGACTTCCTCCTCACATTTAAAAAGGGTTACTTTGCCCCATGAATGAATGAACTATTGAAGGAAAAAAGTTGCCAGTTGGAGGATCAAGAAACATGCTCAACGACTATAAGAACTCATACAGATGGGGTTTTGTCAAAACAAAACTACAACTTCCCCTATCTTTTCATAGACTGTAATTCTTATTGGGCCTGAGGGTTTTTTTTTTTAAATCTCTCTATACCTTACTGCATGTGTTTACCTATGCTGCTGCTGCTAAGTCGCTTCAGTAGTGTCCAACTCTGTGTGACCCCACAGACGGCAGCCCACCAGGCTCCCCCATCCCTGGGATTCTCCAGGCAAGAACACTGGAGTGGGTTGCCATTTCCTTCTCCAATGCACGAAAGTAAAAAGTGAAAGTGAAGTCACTCAGTCGTGTCCGACTCTTAGCGACCCCATGGACTGCAGCCTACCAGGCTCCTCCGTCCATGGGATATTCCAGGCAAGAGTACTGGAGTGGGGTGCCATTGCCTTCTCCAGTATTTACCTATAAGTAGGGGCTTTTCTTACCTCTCTCTTACAGATACTCTGTCTTTTGTCCTTTTTCTCCTATATATAGTCCTGGTTCTTCTTCAGTCTAACAAATATGAAAACACTAACCTGTGGTTTCTTTCTCTGAATGCTTGGGGCTCGAAAGTTTTCTGTCATTCTTTGTGCTGTGTTATCTTTGTGGTTCTCAGGTCAGAAGGTTCACCAGTTCTAGATCTGGCAGGAGGACAGGCACCCATGGATCTATGCTGCAATCTTACTTTTAAATACAAGAGTCTGATAAATATTTCCCTCTGTTGTTATCTGAGGCCAAGGTCCCCTCCACAAGGCAGGGCTGGTCCTGACATTATACCAGATACGAATACTTTCAAAGACTCATAAGAAGCAATAAATGTTTTCTCATCTCAGTCCAGTTAGTTCTTTCTCAGGGTCAGTACTGAGATTTCTTTTTTTTTTTTTTTTGCAAAGTTGTATAGGTGTTGGCTGTAGGTCTTTTGAGCCCCGAGTTGGGGAGGATCTCCTACCTGGAGCAGGATGATCATGGTGAGGAACATGTAAAAGCCCCCAAGGGCAAGGGGAAGGTAGTTGCCCTTGGCGTCTGGCACATCAAAGGGAGGGTGTTCTGTGAAGGTTCCATTCCAGAGGCTGTGACCTGAGAGGAGGCAAAGCAAAGCATGAGGCAAAATCTCCACGTAATCCTAAATTGGTCAATTACATCAGCCCTTCCCTGACCTACTGCCAGAAATCAGTGTGCTTTGGAGGAGCACATCCTTGTTCTATATAACATTGTGTGTGTGTGTGTATCTATTTAGCTCTAAGGTGGTCCTTCAAATACCATACATTTCAATCTCTCCTCCTAGTACAGGAGACTAGCATGGTGATTATTTAGATTTTGTTTAAGTCCTATTACACAAGAGTTGAAAATAGAGAAAGGGACAAGAGTTTGTTTGTTTTCTCCCTCATGTACCCACCCATCCAATCATCTACCCCTCAATCCATCCATCCACCCACCCACCCATCCCTCAACTCTGTTTACTCACTCCTCCCTGCCTCTTTCCTTCCCTCTCTTTATCCAAAATTTATTAATTAAAAAAGGAGTTGGTCCTACTTCTTGTCTTTGAGGAATTCCCTGTCAAGTCATGGAGTCTGATGTAAAGATACAAATCTCACCCGGCATGAGCTAGATCCTGGAACGCTATAAGAGCCCATAGCAACAGCCTCAGATACAGACTGAACCCTCTGTTTCTCTAATTATAAATGGGGATAGCAACACCCATCAAGTGCAGATTGATAAGTGCAACTGGCACTGAGCTCTCTGAATCTCAGCACCCTTATCTATCAATTAGTAACAGTACCTTCCCCATGGGGTTATTGTGAGAACAGGATTGCCCTATGTGTATAATGCTCTTGGCTCCAGGGCAGAAACTATAGAGAATAAAAGGCAAAAAGGATGCCACCCTGCCCCTAAGATACTTCTTTGCCCAAGAGGTTGGGCCAAATACCATCATACACAGTAGAATAAAGGAGGCTTATAGATGTGAGGTTAAGGGCCAAATATATGGTACAGAGTAAGGATCACTGGATTTCAGAGGAGCCAGAGACCATGAAAGAAATCAGAGAGGGCTGCATAGAGGAGGAGGCCTGGAGGGATTCTGAAGCCCAGGTGGGTACTGGGTGATCAGAAAGGCCTGGGGAGGACACTCTAGACAAATGAAAAAGAAATTCCATCTTCATATATTAAAGTAATGAAGTGAAAGTCGCTCAGTCGTGTCTGACTCTTTGTGACCCCACGGACTATACAGTCTTTGGAATTCTCCAGGCCAGAATGCTGGAGTGGGTAGCTATTCTCTCGCCAGGCTTCTCTGTCCATGGGATTCTCCAGGCAAGAGTACTGGAGTGGTTGCCATTTCCTCCTCCAGGGGATCTTCCCAACCCAGGGATCAAACCCAGGTCTCCCACATTGCAGGTGGATTCCTTACCAGCTGAGCCACCAGGCAAGCCTGGTAAAGTAAATGTGGGATAAACAACCCTGGAATGATGCTCATTTGAGAGCCATCACCTCCTACAGGAGCCATGCTTTAATTAGGTGTCAACAGAGGCCTGTCACTCTGTGAGCTGTTATTCTCAGACAAGAGAATCCTGCCCCTCCCCATTACTTTCTCGAAGTATTTCTTACTTTGGGCAATCTACCAAGCTGCTTCTGGTTTGCCTGAGTCTTGTCTGACTCTGTGACCTTTTAATCATTAACTTCCTTTCTCTAGAGACATAGTGACATGATCCTCAATGTCCTTCCCAGGTTTTACAGTCCCTAAAAAACCTTCCCCAAACAGAGTCAAGAGTTTTGCAGCATCTCTGGGGACACGGATGGACCACAAAACCAATCGGTGGTTTTCTTGTTTGCCGGCTTCTGTTCCCTGCAGGTATTGCCCTTCCAGCTTTGAGCCCCCCTCTCGGAGTGCCGTGAGATACACCTGGGAAGTGCATTCATTCAAAACTCCAGGCCACGCACAAGACTAAACCCCACTGTCTTCACTGTGGTGACACATAAGAACTCTGTGGGCTGAGCAACGTTTTGGGCCTTGGACACTGCCTTTTAAAAACAGTGATGAGGACCTCCCTGGTGGTCCAGTGTCTAAGATTCTGTGCTCCTAATGCAGGGGGCCTGGGTTCGATCCCTGGTCAGGGAACTAGATGCCACATGCAGCAACTAAAACCTGGCACAGTCAAATAAATAAATATAAAGAAATATTAAAAAGAAATAGTTTCTAAAAAATAAAGTATAACAGCAGTGATGGGTGAGATTTCTGATAGAAGCAAGTGAAGATCAAACAAGACAGCTGCTCCCTGGTGCAGAGTCGGCAGGGGGCTCTGGACTTAGTATATGAGTTCTTCAATTTGATCCTCCCTGCTTCTTTTATGGCCTCCTTTAGGGTACCAAGAACCATCCTTAGTGTTAAGCCATTAAACGGGAGAGTAAGGAGGAGGATTGTACTCACTGCCCGCCTACCCTCCAATGATCAACTGGAATACCTCTTCCCACAGCGGTCTACACTGGCTGTGGTAGAACCTGACCATAGCCTGCTTCTGTTCAGGGTTCCACCCTTGGCCTTGCTCTTGCCAAACAGCCAAACTCTCCTCTGCAAAAGAATGATCTTCCCTCCTGCCACTGTGCTTTGTCTGTGCTGTCCGTAGGGTAAAGCGCCCTCTCTTCTTTCACAGGTGCCGGCCCCATCCTGTCCCTGCCACCTCCCTCTGCTGACGAGAATCAGCTCCAGCAAGACTCCCTTCCCTGATGCTCCCATAACACCACAGCAGGCTGAATAATGTCCCCAAGGTGTCTGTGTGCTCAACCCAGGGCCCTGTGGACATGCAAAAGGGACTCTGCAGACAGGATTGAGTGAAGGGCCCTGAGATGGCAAAGAGGAGCCTGGATTAGCCGGATGGGCCTGATGATGTATTACAAGTGTCCTTATAAAAAGGAGGCACAAGGAGATATATCCACAGACAAGGAGAAGGAGATGTGAAGTAAGGCGCTCTGAAAACGAAGGCGTTTATGTGTGTGTGTGCTCATTCGCCTAAGTTGTGTTTGACTTTTTGTGAACCCCTGGACTCTAGCCTTCCAGGCGCCTCTGTCCATGGGATTCACCAGGCAAGAATACTGCAGTGGGTTGCCATCTCCTTCTCCAGGGGATATTCCTGACCCAGGGATGGAACTCGAGTCTCCTATGACTCCTGCATTGGCAGGCAGATTCTTTACCACCTGGAAGTCCTGAAAATCTCCCAATGCCGCAAATGCAGAAACCCAGGTGGCCAGCAGAAACCAAAAAGACAAGGGGCCACTTCCCCCACAGGATCTCCAGAAGGAGCCGGTCCTGCAGGCACTCTGGTCTTAATGCAGTGAAACTGATTTTGGACTTCTGAACCCCGGATATGTAACAGAATCAGCTAGTGATGTTTTAAACCGCTCAGCTTGCGTTAACCTTTTACAGCATCACTAGGAAACGGACGCAGTACCTGCTGCCGCCCTCACTGAATGCGCCAGATGCTGTTAGTGATTCTGTTCTCAGGCTGGACTCTGAGGACAGTCCTGTGATTGATCCGTCTGTTACCCTCTCTGGGTCAGGGGGTGCCAGGGTTCAGGAACTATTTCCTGAATAGACAGATGACAGATGCTCTTCCTACTATTTAGGGCACATACAACTTTCAGAACGATATCACCCGCATTTTTGGCTGAATGGGCACCCTGTTAAATACGGAGTAGGCTTGCTTTTTTTTATTAACTTCTTTTTGCACATAAGGAAACCGAGGCTCTGTGTTGAGGCAACTGGCACAAAAGAAACAGAAGGTGCCTGTGGGGTTGTTCTTTCCAGAACATTCCGTACCTACAGCTCCAACGAGGCACATGAGGAAGAGGATGCCGATGCAGGAGAAGATGTCTCTGTTCATGCGCCGCTCGATCTTGCTGCGTTTGTACCGCGGGCCGCTGTTGTTCAGCATGGCTTTCGTCTCATGGCCTTTGAGGGAAAAGTAAGATCGTCAGTCTTTGGCCCCCCGTTTGCCTCTGGATCTTCCCGCAGGATAGTTACCTCTGTGCAGGGCAGGGACAGAGTGCAGACGGAGAGAACGGATGTGTGGACACAGGAAGGGACTTGGGGGGCGAGTGGTGGGATGAAACGGGAGAGTAAGATTGATATGTATGCACTACCGTGTGTAAACAAGACAGCTAGTGGGAAGCTGCTGTAGCATAGGCAGCCAGGGCTCTGTGATGACCCAGAGGGCTGGGATGTGGGGGGTGAGGGGGGGTATATTATACAATGTATTTGTACGCAAACGGCTGATTCATGTTGTTGTATAGCAGAAATTAACACGACACTGTAAAAGCAATTCTACTCCAATTGAAAAACAAACAAACAAATCTAAAAAACTGAAAAAACAAGAGAGGCTTCATCCTCTAACCTGGATGTATCCTGGCATAGGGAATTTCTGGGAACAGCTGAAGAGACCTCACACAACTGATCAGTGGGTTTTTACGAAACATTCCCTACCTGCCTGACACAGGCTGGGTCAGGGCATAGACCAGACTCCTGTGCACAGGCTGTGTCCTACACAGCTCAAGAGGTAGCCCTCACTGTGTAGCTGTCACAGATTTGTAAGCCTCTTAGGACACATTTCTAGCAAACGAAAGAAGGCTGTCTTGAGGAAGGGCCATCTTCTAATTTGCACAAAGGGGCTGCTATGGGTTAGTGGTAGGATACAGTAGTTAAGCCAGATGATTCATGTGCTGGTGAAAATACACAAGCAAACAAGTAAATAAGGTCATCACAGTTGGTGATAAGTCCCATGAAGTAAACAATAAATAAGGGCTAAAAAACAAGAGATGCTGTTAGAGAGCATGGTCAGGGAAGCCTTCTCAGAGGAGGTGACATTTAAGGGAGACATAAATAGAGAGAGAAAAGTTGGAAGAAAAGGGCTTTGGGCTGGGGAACAGTATATGCCAAGGCCCTGTGGCGGCACTGTACTCGAGGCCAGTCATTTTCATGCTTGCTTCTTTGCTAAGGTGTTTATTGCTTGTGCAAGAGCGTAGTGACCAAAGGCCTCCACCCCAGCATTAACTCTGGGCAGCTCCTCTCCTGTCTTGGAGTTCTGCATAAAATTTTGTTCAAAGAAAAAATAATAAAATTTAAAAACTATTGATCTTATCCAGTCGCCTCTCTGCTCCAGCTGGAGAAACCCATGGCGGAAGCATAGAAGGGACTTGATCCAGGTGAAAGGATACATGAATATCAGAGCTGCATGGAGAACCCAGGATGCTGATCCCCACTCTATTTCTCCTTCCACTGCCCCTGGTACCCAAGTCACCCAGCTAAGAGCTGACAGTCTAACTAAGCCTTGTCTTTAAACAGAACCTTTCCTTTGGGGCTGCTAAATTTTAATTACTGTGCCATACCCCTCAGAAGACAAATTAAAAGACTCCAGTCACACGTTTCCTGTGCAAAATGAAAGAGAACCAATATATCAGCTCTAGCAGTGAGTGGTTTAATGCTGTTTAGCTGGTGGCCTTGTGGATTTAAAGTGGCAATGAAACTGCAGGAGTGAGCACGCTCTGGCCTTATGTCAGACTCAGTCGCTGCAGTTGTTCAAGGGCTGCCACAGCTGTGGTCCCTGCCTGCCCTGGGTTCACCCCATACAAGGGGTCCTGGGACCACCCGGTTCACCCACGCCTCACTTCCTAAGGCTCCTCTGCTCCTTTGGCAAGATGTGGTCTCATGGGTGAGGCAGCATGTGGTGGAGAGAACGTGGGCTCCAGTGTCTGACAGAGGTTGGATCTCAGGCACTTGACCCTGGGTTGGAGGGAATTAATCTTAGGAGACATGTGACTTTGGTGGAATTAATCCTTTTGTATCTCAATTTCTCATCTGTACAATGAGATATGATGGTTGCATGCTCTGGGATAAGGGAGTGAACTGATACACATAAAGTACCTAAACTAGTTTCTGGAACACAGTAGGGCCTCAATAAATGTCTGCAGTGAGGAGCATACACCTCCATGCAGAATTTCTTCCTTCTGGAAAATTTGAAAGCTTTTTTTGCCTTTGATCCTAAGGTGCTCCTGTCGTGTCCATCTATACCATCAAGGCAGAGAGTACAGCTCCCCGACGAGTCATTCTCCATAGGGCACTTTGTTCCCCAGGGGACATTTGGCAAAGTCTTCAGGAAATTTTGGTTATCATCTTTGAGGAGGTGGCACTAATGGCATCTAGTTGGCAGAAGCCAGGGCTGCTGCTAAACATCCTATATGATGCCCCCCTCCCCCGACAAAGGACAATCTGGCACAAAGGTCAATAGTGTTGAGGTTGAGAACCCCTGCTCCAGATGACAACACTTAACACCATTAGTACCATTTTTGCTCACATTTTTTGAGACCCTGATGTGTGCCAGGCTAGTGTTAAGCCCTTTTCACAGATCATCTCATTTGAACCTTACAATCCTATGAGAACAGGTTATCAGTGGCTTTTATGTGGAAAGCTTGACGAGCTTTTCAGGAACTTGCAGCCAAGGGCTGGTTTAGTGTGTGTGAAAGTCGCTCGGTCCTGTCTGACTCTTTGCGACTGCATGGGCTACACGGTCCATGGAATTCTCCAGGCCAGAATACTGAAGTGGGTAGCTGGTTCCTTCTCCAGGGGATTTTCCCAACCCAGGGATTGAACCATGTCTCTGCATTGCAGGCAGATTCTTTACCAGTTGATCTTCTAGGGAAGCCCAGGGCTGGTTTAGCCCCAGGCAGTCTGACTCCTAGTAACCATGATTAACTCCCTCTCTGCCTGCCCTCTCACAGGCCACTCCTGTCACCCACTCAGAGCTTTGCGTCTGCTCAGGCAGAGAAGAAAACTCAATGTTTATGAGGGTGTTTTCGTGGGGCAGGGATTATTGAAGGGGTCATGTTTAGTAAGTTTGCCAGACAACACTGAGCCCCACTGTCAAAGACCTTTGAAAACAATGACCTGTGTTGACAAATATAACATCCCTCCCCCAAATTAGGGAAAGCCAGCTAGATTGTGACACTATTCAAAAAAACCCTACTTTTCTCTCACAGTCTGCCAAAGGGAGTCATAGGGTAGATTGGTGTGTTAGTGCTCTTCCATGTCTAACAAAGGTTGGATTCTATGCAGACCCAAACATACCCACTAAAAGTAAACAAAATATTACAAGGTGTCCCAGTGAGTGGAAGATCCAGAGAAGCTTATTCTGGAGAGTTCCAGGGAAGGTAGACACTCCAGGGAGACTGTGTTACCGCTATAGATGTTTGCAGTTGTTCACGTAACAACAGACATGTACTGAGCACCCATGGAGTGCCAGGTGCTAGGTACTGGGGATTCAGCCATCCCAAGACCCCCTCCAAATCCCATTATGAGAAGTGCTGCTGTTGCCTTTTTTCAAGGGGAAGCAAAATCTAAGTGCAAAGAAGAGACAGACCACCAAAAACGGAGCCACAAAATGAATAAAGCTAATAATAAAAGCAACTGTGAAAACAACAACCAAGACTCATTGTGCCCTCATGTGCCACACACGGCACTGGCTGCTTTCTATGTCTGGGTCACCGTACTCTCACAAGCGCTTCATGAGGCAGATAGAGATGTTATTCCCATTGTACAGATGAGGACACTGAGGCACACATGGTGATGTTGCCAAGTTTAGTGAGGTACTCCTTAAACTCAAGAAGATGCTCTTCATCCCACCTATGGTTAGTGTCACAAAACTGTTAGGGATGCATCAGTCCCCCTCCCTGTGTCATCCAGATGAGTGACAGTGACTCAGAGTCGAACTATGTCTCCTGTGGACCACGTAAGCCACTGTGAATCCAGCCTCAGTTTGCTTTCCCTTAGAAATGGGAAATCACATGACTCTACCCCTTAGAAGTGATGTGAGCTCCCACCAACTAAACATGAATTTGGAGGAAGTTTTGGAGGAAGGAGGAGAAAGGGCAGGGACAGAGGAAAGTGTCCAGGGACAATAACCTGTGTAGATGACAATGCCAACAGCCACTTCAGTGTTTCTGATGGTGCAGCCTCGAAGCAGAAGACTCTCACTGCCAAAGCCAGTCCTGGTCTGATCGGGATGTTCCCTGGAGATAATGAAAGACAGGAACAGTTTGGTGGCCACTCCACACTTTCACGGGTTAGTGTCTCAGAATTAGAAGTGGTGAGTGAACACGATCCCTCTTCTCCCTCTTCTTCAGAAGAGCAATATTAACTTGGAGACTAATTCCCATATTTAAATGCAAGATTTCATTGGTCCTAGGACACCTAATGGGGACTGGACCATTAGAGGAGAATTACCCATCCCTAAGGATGTGATTTTGCCTAAAAGGCAGAACTCCGATGAGGAAGATTCAAAGCGGTTTTAGGGGCCAAATGTGTGGGAACTGGCTCTGAGCCTGCAAGGATGGGTGCTGTGCTCCCTGAGGCAGGGTTCATACACCCACTGCCACCCAGCTGCGGGATCTGCACCCACACGAGCTGAACGTCCAAGTCTGCAGAGCATAAAGGACAGTCCCACCTCTCTTACCACGAGACGATGAGGAAGGGCAGCCCGCAGGTTCCCCTCTTGGCCTCTCGCCTGTGCTATCCTTCTCTTGCTCCATCCTCATAAAATAAACAGACCTCACGGCAGGAGGACCAGGGGCCTTTGTGCAACATTCTGGGAGGAGGCTTCTCAAGGGGAGATCCGTAGAGCTCTTCCCTTCTCCTAGACTCAGGAAGCATCACAATTTCCCACTTAACTCTAGACACTTCTGAGTCAACCCACACCAGGGTTGACTTGCTATCTGGTCCTCATGCAGTCCTGATGCCCTCCCCCTCTGAGATTTTTAGGAACTTAAAATATAACTTCCTCACAACATTGGGGAGAACAGAAAAGTGATCATCTGAACTCTAATGGATTTTTCTCTCCTCCTAACTCTTTAATACTTCATTTCTCTAGGTCCAGTTATGTTTCCTATGTATTAAATAATGGTCATGACAATCTTAGAAGGTAGGTCATGTCTCATACCCATTTTAAAGATAGGGAAACTGAGGCAATCATAGTACATGGAAGAAAGGGGATTCAAATTCAGGAAGTCTGGCTCCAGAATACTACAATACCACCCAATACACTCAGAATAATTCTTTACTGTGTTTATAAACTATATTACTTACATGATTTTATTTGACTCTTCACAGCTCTGGAAAGTTAGCAGGGTGATTATCCTTGCTTATGAGAAAGTTGAAACTCAGAGAAGGTGAGAGATCTTTCCAAGTACACACTTCCAGGACATAGGACATCCCAGGACTTGGGAACCCAGGCCTCAAACACCAAGCCTCAGGTGATTTTCACTACATTAGAGTTCTTAAAGTAGCACCCCATTAATTTACATTGAATCAGTCATTTCCATTTGCAATTCTTTTGAATTTAACAAGGAAATATCTTAGTTTATCTCTGCTAATCCTTTCTAGCACTTATTTATCTAGTTTTTTAACACAGAGGAGGTTTTGGTAATAGTCTGTAGTTGGAGTAAAATAACTGTTTTGATTTCATTTGACTAATTTTACTGTTATAAAATTTATATATGGAAAGCAATACTGCCATAAATCTATGGCAAGCTATATATAGCAGTGATACTAGTTGCCCATAGTGCCAGTAACATAACTTTTTCCTCTGAAATGAATTAAGAGAAAAATAAGCCAATTAAAAATTTGTAACATATAGTGTTTATGAATGTGATACAAATCATAAAGGTGCTCTGAGAATGGCTGAAGTTGAAGACCCACCTGTCCTTATGGAGGGAGCTGCTACAGAGAGAATATTGAATGATTCACTGTTAGTAGCTAGTGGTTTAAAGAGCATTTATGATGCTCTAAGGTGATAACCTATGACAGTATCTTCCTTGTCTCCCGGTCATAACATACCTTTTCCAGTACAAAGGGACTGCGATCTCATAGCCCTTCTGTTTAGTGTGCTGTTTACAGGGACGCTTTATTGAACTGACTCACAGCAGTATTTCTCCACCTCGACACTCCTGACTATTTGGGTGGGATCAGTCTTTGTTGTGGGTAGTTCTGTGCCCCACAGGATGCTGAGCAGCATCTCCGACCCCTACCCACCAGATGCCAGGAGCACCTCATCCCAGCTGTGATAATCAACGCGTCAGACACCGTAAAGGTCCTCTGATAGAGAGGAGGGAAAGAGGTTTGAGAACCACTGCCCTGGACTGATCTTACTGCTTAAAAATTGCATCGTTAAATCTGACATCCCTAATCTTCAAAGCATTAAAAACTACTCAGTTTCTAGCCAGCCTGGGTAGCCCCAAGAGAGCTCCCACATTGAGGAGGCCAAAGAAGCTTCTGGACATCTGGAGGCGTGAGTCCTGTGGTTTGCTCAGCAAGAGAGCCTAGGTCGTCTGTGGGTGGGGGGCCTCGGCAGAGATGTGGGAGCTTGGTGCAGAACTTGCCAGCATCCCATGGGTTGACTGCTAGACTGACCAACTGGACTTTCCAGGCTCACCCAGGAGCCCCGGGCAGGTGGGGAAAGATGCCTTTAGAGGCAGCGACCAGGAAGAGGGGGTTCTGGGGGTTGAATGGAGCTGGGAAACTTCTGTCTGAGATGAGCCCAGGCTGAAGCTTAGAAAGGCTGGCTGCTGGCATGAGCTGTTTGAGGGAGAAAGGATTACAAATAGAAACCCAGCAATGAGGCTGCTCTGCAAGAGGATGGAGAATGACTCAAGGCATGGGAGGCTTGGGATGAACCAGATCCACAAAACTTGTGCATGAGGGGAGGACTTCTTGCCCAGGCAGGTGGCAAGCTCCACCTCGCCAGATGCCTGCTATGAATCCTCTTCTCCTCCAGGAACTTGCACCCTTCTCTGTCCATCTCCATCTGCGCTCTCTTAATTTTTAAAAAGTAATTTGCACAGAAAATCTGCTATTTCTTTTGTATTGGTCTTGCTTTTCCCCCTCTTATCTTGCTCCTCAAGACATCTCATATGGCCTGGGAAACATTGGTTGGAGGGAAAACCCTGACACCTGCCTCCTGAGAAATCTTTTGAAGTCTCACTGCAGGCCTATTGGTAGAGAAGCTGCTGTAACATGTCTGCGCTCATTGTCTGCATGCAGGCAATGCAAAACACACAGGGGTTAGAGTGAAAAGACAGGATGGAAGTCCTGGCCCCGCCTTGTAGCTGCTGTGTGCTTCTGAGGGAATCCTGAAAATTTTTATCATCAGCTCTCTCATCTGAAAACTGGGAATCAGAATTCTCACTTCTCTGGGTTGTTTTGCAGATTAAATGAGATGATGTTCTTAGAAAGTCCTCTGAAAGTCTTAAAGCCCTGAATAGGTCATTTATTCATGTCTGTTACCACTGTTCTTTTTTTTTTTGTCTTTTACATTAAGACCAGTTGTCAAATGTGGGAGCAAAATTATAGCAAAACTCTCAGGCTGAATCAAAACTGACAAATAATAACAACAGTAATTGCAACAGCCGCGGCACCATGAACTATCTACTCTGCCTGTTTCCATGCTTTGTATAGGATCAGCTCTCAGACAAGAAAATTCCTGTGGTGTAATCTTTATTTTACAGAAGTGGCGGTGCAGGCCCAGAGAGGTTAATTAATTTACTCAAGGTCATATAGCTTGTAAGCGATAGCGCCTGGTTTTGAACCTAGCTCTGTCAAACTCCAAAGTCCCCATTCTCAGTGCAATAAAGGCTCCTTCAGAAATCTGGTCTAAATTTAATCATACTTGCCTCCCCTGAATCAGAGTGTGGTCTCGATTTTGATGCTGTTTCACAGAGTTCTGAAAAAACTATTAGTGAATTTAAACCTGCGAGATAATTAAACGTCACTACATCAACAACAAAGACTGGAAAAGTTTTCTCAATTTAGTTAGGTTTCTCTAGCCCCTTCTTAACCTAAAAAGAAATAAACTTTCTTAGGACCCAGATGCTTATCTGTTTGGCCATTTCAAGACAAAACTTTTAGCTACAGAGGCAATATTTATAAGCATCACATGGGTGGCAGATACTTACATATAACCCTTAAATTTGTTGAGGTGGTTGTTGGGCTTCTCACACACGATGGTGTTGTAGAAATGTTCTGGTTGGAACTGTACCTCCTGTGAGAGAGAGAGTGCTGCGAGGTCATTAAGTCAGAGGGATCTCATTTTAATAGGATCACTGGGAGAGCTAATCATAGTTAGAACCATTGAAAATAAGGTAATGCCTGCTTTGTTGCACCGTGATAATTGCAATGTGTGAGAAAAAACAGTAATATCCTCATTAAGGAGGAAGAAGTAGATGCAGAGGAAAACTTGAGTGCTTGGCAAAGGGAGGGCCCTGTCCTGACTGTTTTTTTTTTTTTTTTTTGGCCTGGATTTCAGTCTCTAGGCTCAAGTTGCCCTGTAGAACTTACTGCCTTGATGGACATGTTCTATGTCCGCACTGTCTAAAGTGGAAGCCACACATGTGTGGCTGTGGAAATATGGTAGTATGACTGAGGAACTGATTTTTAACTGTTATTTAATTTTAATTAATTTAAATAGCTACCTGGGGTTAGTGGCTACCAAACTGGGCAGTATAGAAATAGATGATCAAAAAGAAGAAATTATAAATCACACTACCTACAGCTAGCCAATATTCTTGTGTATTTAGAGCTTCCAGGGTTTAAAAAAGTATGTACGTACACCTACACACATTTGTGTATGGACACACACCCACATTTATGCATTTCAAAAATGAGACTTAGTGGTCATATACAGTGAACATTTTTACACATTATTACATTTTTCTACATCTCTTTAAACACCTGGATAGAAACCTATTGTATAAATGCCACTATATTTCACTACTAAACACTGACCTGCTTTCAACTGTTGGCTGTTGCAAAAATGCTGTGAAAATAATAGTTAATAAAACAAAATAAGTAGCATTCATTGGACTCTTACTTCTGTCAGATGCTGTGATGAGAACTTTAGAAATACTATTTTTTCTTCAAGCTTACAATTCTTCTATGAAGTAAGAACTTGATTATCGCCTCTCTAGAGATGGGAAAACTATGACTCAGAAGGGTTAAGAAGCTGCCTGTGGTCATATCAGGACTAGGATTTGAATCCAAGTCTGACTGCCGACCCTCTGTTCTTTACTTGTACAACATACTACCCCCCACCCCCTACCACCACAAACATTCTTGTAGCAAAGCATTTAAAACACATTCTTGACTCTTCATTTTTTTCTCTTTTGTTAGGTATTTTAGTTTACAATCTCTTAAAGTCCAACCTGAGGAAAACACAACTAGGGGTGAGAAGATCTTGCTTTTTAATTCGACCCTACATTGACTAAAAGTACATTCAATCCTTGAGCCTCAGTTTTCTCATCTATAGAATGGGGCTAATACCATTGTGCCTCAGAAGACAGAATTTGTGTGGGAAAAGTTTTGAAAGGTGTAACAGGCCATGCCATAGAAGGAGGTAGTGCTAAGGTGGGATTGGAACTGGTTCCCTGGGTAGAGCTTTTAGCCTGAGTAGTGAATGAATCACTCCAAGCTGCAAGGTACAGCTGTTCAAAGTGGTAAATTGATTAGAAGAAATGACAGCATCTTCTGGCTTCGTGTAAATATACTGTCCATTGGTTCTGTAGGGGTGCCAACATAAATAAACTCTCTTCTCACTTGAAATAAATTACCTATCCAGGAGTTTCTAAAAATACAGCCTTTTCCCCTCCAAGTATTGATTCTTTCAGGGACAAACACTTGCCGAGTTCTGAGATGATGACAAATAACCCCGTGATTTGTCAGCTGCCTTTGCGGTCCTGATTAAGCCATGTGCTTCCCTCTGGATCTATACCACTCAGCTCACTGTGGGCTTTTGGAATCCGAACTCATTTCAGATGTCTGCAGCAGCAGGTCTGAGAGCTAATGATCACACTGCAGTGAGCCTGTCGCCTGTTTAATCATCTCCAGGGATCCCCGGCTGTCTTGTCCCTCAGCGGGGCTTCCCAGCGACCTTCCTTCTGAAGTGTCCTGCATTCTTTTATTCTTCTGGGCAGTTGCTTTGGGTGCTCTGTCTGTCTCCTTCTCCACATGGAGAGGTGATTTTGCCCTTCATAGCTCCCTGTCCCCTGGGCTCCTTCCATTCTTCCCTAGATGGGCTGTGGAGAAGGGCACACGGGCCCCACTGTCGCCAGACAGCCCCTCAGGATTGCTGCCTTCCCTGGATTTGCTGTAACTCACTCCAGGCAGCTGCTAGGAGAACCCAAGGACAGCAATGCTGGGGCACTGTCAAGCCCTACAAATCTGCCAGGGGCCTCATTTACTTTTTTGAGCTTATAAAATGTATCTATTTATTGGAGTACAATTGCCTTACAAGGTTATGATAGTTTGCTGTACAATGAAGTGAGTCAGCTGGATGTATACACATACCCGCTCCCTCTTGGACCTCCCTCCCTCTCCCCTGACCCCATCCCACCCTCTGAGGTCATCACAGAGCACTGAGCTACACAGCAGCTCCCTACCAGAGTTTCTGATCCACTTTCGGCTCGCTTAGCTTTTCTTACCTTGGGGAAAAAGCCCACTAACCACCTTTTCTTGCTGACCCAGCCTATTACCAAAGGCACCACCCTTGAGGAAAGTAATAGCCATCAGGGTACAGGAAAAGATAAACCCCTTCCATAGAGGAGAGCATTGTGTGTGGTTCTTCAGGTCAGACCCAGTGATGTGGGACAATTACTATGTTCCAGGCACCCGTCATTAAGTTTTCATAGTCACCTTAAGAGGTGTGGACAGAAGTACAAATGTAGATCAATAAAGCAATTGTCTTATGGTTGGTGAGCAACAGAAGCAGCACTGCAAGCCAAAACGTTGGAATCTAAAGCCAGTCATTATTATCACCATAGCCACTGTGTCATCATCATCAATACATTACATTTATTCCACTTTCTCTTCCTATGATTATTATTACAGCACTTATTGGATGCTTATTAAGTGCCAAGAACAGCTAAATATTTCACACATGCTCTTCTCTTGAAGTCACACAATAAACTGATCAGATCGGCACTATTATTACCCTATTTTATAATACAGAGGAGGGAACTGAGGCTTAGGGAGAGTCAGTGAATTTTCCCAATGGCACACAGATAGCAGAGCAGAAGACAGGCTTCAACCTCAGAATTTCTGGTGCCATACAGCCCACCCTCCTAAACCACAGTGCTATTTTGATGCACAAAGGAAAGACGATCATTTAAGAACTCCTTTCGGTCCTGTTTCCTTTTCTATGTTCCTTTTCCACTTCCTATGATCAAAGTACCCAATATGATAAATGAGGTCAACATGTAGTTGACCCTTGAACAACATGGATTTGAACTGTGTGGATCCACTCATACAGGTTTTTTTTAATAAACACTATGGTACGGGAAGGAGCCAAGATGGCGGAGGAATAGGACAGGGAGACCACTTTCTCTCCTACAAATTCATCGAAAGACCATTTGAATGCTGAGCAAATTGCACAAAACAACTTCTGATCGCTAGCAGAGGACATCAGGCGCCCAGAAAAGCAGCCCATTGTCTTCGAAGGGAGGTAGGACAAAATATAAAAGATAAAAAGGGAGTCAAAAGAGCTACGGACGGAGACCCGTCCCGGGAAGGGAGTCTTAATAGAGGAAGTTTCCAATCACCAGGAAACCCTCGCACTGGCGGGACTGGGGGAAGTTTTCGGCAATCTAACTAGGAGGAAAAATTAAGCAAGGCCCACAGATTACGTGCCTAAAAGCAACTCCCAGCAGAAAAGTACCCCAGACGCCCGTACCCGCCAGCAACAAGCGGGGGCGGAACGGAGAGGAGCGGGCGGCATTGCTTAAGGCCCGAACACACTGCTGGCGGTTCGCAAAACAAAGGGACTGAGAAAGTCCAGAGAAGAGCCGGCCCATCCCCGCTGGAGGTTGGAGGCAGGGGGTAGGGGAAAAGGGCAAACTCAGCCCCTGAGAAGCCACCCCCTCCCACACTGCAAACAGGCCCCGGTTCCTATCTAAAGACTTCCTGAGACCCGACTGGCGGCGCGCGCTGGGGCCGCGGAGGGAAAAAGCGCGCCGTACCCGGGGAGACTGCGCCCAAGCCTCTGGCTGCCTGGGCCGCTCGCCGCGGAGGGAAAAGGCGCGCCACCTCCGGGGAGAGTGCGCCCAAGCCTCTGGCTGCCTGGGCTGCCCGCCGCGGAGGGAAAAGGCGCGCCGCACCCAGGGAGAGTACGCCCAAGCCTCTGGCTGCCTGAACCGCTCAGGCCGGGGAAGGCACAAAACGCAGGCGCAACCGAATCTGCGCTTTTGTGGAGTACCCGAAATCTGGAACCGCACTCAACGCAGGGCCCGCTCCATATAGAGCAGCCGGGAGCCTGAGCAGTGTAGACGGCAAAAGCACTGACACCCGTAAGCGGGGCAAACCCAGTGTGGCCGGAACACGGTGAGTGCTATCCACACAGAGCGGTATCTGTCTGCAGCGCCCCGCCCTCCCTGTAGCAGGACTGAACTGAACTAGAGAACCTAAATAAGAGATCACCTCTGCCCGCCTGTGTCAGGGCGGAAATTAGACACCAAGGAGACGGCAAACAGAAGCCAAATAAACAAAGGGAACCGCTTCAGAAAGGACTGGTGCAACAGACTAAAATCCCTGAAGGTAACACCGACTACACCAGAAGGGGCCTACAGATATCGAGAAGTGTAAGCTGGAAAGAGGAGCTATCTGAAATTGAACTGAACCTACGCGGACTGCAACAACTCCAGAGAAATTCCTAGATATATATATATATATATATTTTTTTTTTAATTAAAAAAAATTTTTTTTTCTATCTTTTTTTTTTAATTTTTTAAAATTTTTTCTCTTTTATTTTCTTTTAAAATTCCCTATTACTCCCCCATTACTCCTCAACTTTCATTTTCATATATTTTTACGATTTTTTTAATTAGGGAAAAAAAAAATTTTTTTCTTTTTTTTTCTTTTTCTTGTTTTTCTCTCCTATTTTAAAGTCCTCTAATACTCCTCTATTATTCCTTAATTTTCATTTTCATTTCACTATAACCTTGCCAAAAAAAAAAAAAAGAGAGAGAGAGAAACCCTATTTTTAAATCAAACTTC